TGTCACTAATGATTATTTTGGGAATTGAGTAATCTGTCGATTGTTCTGACGATTAATCAAGTAATCGGATAATTATTGGGCCCTATGATTTCCGCGATGCGGAAATACGCACACACGGAATCCAATTATAAAAATGGATTTTACTGTGTTTGTGGATGGATAAATCAAAAGTAGGTAAGTACACTTAAATCAAAATGTGAAATGGACTAGTGCCTGTGAATATTAAGCCGCAAAAATACTATTTAAATATGAATCCTGCATGTTCTGCACGTCTCTGTATGAATTAATTGCACAGGCGCGCGGTTTCGTTTACTACACACATACTGAAGTGCGCGTGACACTCGCGGTGTTTTCAGCCTGTGCTGCTTCAATATACGCGTATGAACATGATCTCTAGAACTGCTCTGAGACACTTCATGAGCATTTTACCATTTCTTTTGAGAAAAACTACTGTCATATTAAAGGCTACAAAGGTCTTCACAGCAACCCATTAAAATAAAAGTTCGGGTTAAAGGGTTATTTCACCCAAAAATGAAAATTAGCCCATGAATTACTCACCCTCAAGGCATCCTAGATGTATACGACTTTCTTCTTTCAGACGAATCCAGTCGGAGTTATATTATAAATTGTCATTGATCTTCCAAGCTGTTTAATAGCTGTTTTACGTTTTGAATATGGATATTTTTTGTACAAAAACACATCGATTTGCTACAGGAGGCCTTTGTTCCGCCCCCGGGAATCGTGTGAGGCACTTTTTATTATGGATGGATGTGCTTTAGTACTTCTTTTGGACTGATGAACTGCAACACCCGCTGACTGCCATTAAACAGCTTGGAAGTCCATTTTTAATATAACTCCGATTTAGGGTTGGGTATCGTTTGAATTTTATCGATTCCTAGTTTTGATTCCAATAAGATAAAAAATCCAATATAAAAAATATTAAGTCAAACATTTAGATGTCAAACATTCATTGCCTTTTTATAAAGCATTCTGTTGCAGCTGAATAACACAAGCAAAAATCAGCAGCCTACAGAACACTGAAAAAAAAATACCACAGCAAAAACAACTAGATTAATATAAATTTCAAATATTAAAGTGTTAAAGACAAGTAAACAGTCAGTAATAAGATAGGAACAAACAAATCAATTAGCAATATCATAAATAAATACAACTGAACAAAATGTCAGGTACAAAAACTGTACTTAAGTTTAAAAACACTGCATAGTTTTCTTTTCATAAATAAAATATAGATTAATCAATTAAAGTTATTAAATGTATTCAGTCAAGATCAGTGAATGATTTTCTTTTGTTCTTTGAACATTAATGACAGGCAGCATGTTTATTAGGCTGCTGTCTCTTTAACACCGAACGCATGCAGATCTAAAAATACTGTACATGTGTGTTTTCTTTCTCATCTGTTTACTTTCACGTAAGACAAAAACGATTGTGTTTATGATGATATACTGACGTAGTTTTCTGCATATTGGTCGACAAATATGAAAAGTCAGTTTCTGCCCGGAACAACATTTTCTACAGTGGAAATACACGGAATGGTTCGAGAACGGACACAAACCGGGAACTCGTTCCCGCGACCTCTGTTCTCTGTGCTCGCGCTTGCGCTTCGTGTGCACTGCACGCAAACAGGGCACAAGTTCTTTCCGTTTCTGCACTTAAATAGTTTTTAATCACATTAAAATGCGAACACAGGAATCGTTAAGCAGAATCGAAATGCATGCGTCTTATTGAATACCCGGTTCTTGGAAATTTGGAACCGGTTCTAAAATGGAACCGGTTTTCGATACCCAACCCTACTCCGATTGGATTCATCTGAAAGAAGGAAGTCATATACACCTAGGATGGCTTGAGGGTGAGTAAATAATGGGCTAATTTTCATTTTTGGGTGAACTATCCCTTTAACAGAAACTCAGAAATATATTACGTCATGTAATCATAGTATTACTACTACTAATAAAATTATAATCAAAACATTATTTTTAAGGAGTATTTACCAGAAATATTATTTACAAGAACTTCATCAAAACGTGTAAACTAAGACTAAAACTATTGGTCAAAAAAACATTTTCGTAAACTGAAATAAAAATAAAATTTCTAAATAAATGAAACCCTAAAACTAAACACAACTAACAACTGTAATTGAAAAACGAACTAAAATAAAATAATTGGCAAAAATAAATAATCGTGTTCGTGATTTAATAAGCTCTCATTCTGTGCCAGAAAATCTGACCTGTGGTTGTTTAGGGAAGTACCTGTAGATGGCGCTTCATGCATGTGAGCTGAATCCTAAGCGGCCGTTCACAGAGAATGTGTTTTTTTGCATTTAAAAGACACGGGAAATTTAAATGGGAAATAACTATAAAATATGAAATGATAAATAATAATAATGCACACCTTACAGCGCACGGAAGTTTAAAATCGTGTTTGACGTGCGAGAACAACATGAGAAGCAGTGGCGGCTCTTGGGTTTTAAAATAGAGGAGGCACACTAATTGTATTGGTCTGGGATCCCTGCCGATTATTATTATTTGCTTAACTACTTTAAAATGGCTTTTTGGTTGCTTTTAGTCAGAAAACGTAAAGAAACCTACATACAGCAAAATAATATAATTTCACTTACCTGGCCTATCACTTGAAGCAAACATCCATCCCTTCTTAAAAGTCTGTGTTAAAAGAGAGCTGCTTGTTGCGCCATTTAATTAAGCCGACTGCTGTAGCCTATATCCAGCTTAGGCTGTTTTCTCTAAATTTGTATATGAACTGTTTGAATGACAGCTTAGTAAATCTGTTGGCGATCAAATATTCAATGCGGTTGCAATTACATCAGCAGATTCGGCACATTCGCGATAGAAAAGCGGCACTTTCACATTATGGTATTACAACTGTGAAATTACAAACAAAAAATACACATTCTGAGACATGAACTGAAATGAATTGTGAATTTTATTAACATTAAATCGTCGTTCTCCCATTTTCACCTCATAATTATGGGGAGGCTGTGCCTCCCCCGACGAGCCGCCACTGATGAGAAGTTAACACACACATAATTAAAATTTTTGGATGAGCTGACTTCAGTGAATAGTCATTTTGTCACGCTTTGATTACTATGGCAACGTCCGCCTCGAGTCCATGACACGAGCACCGCTTTGTACAAAACGCATCCAAAATGAGAGAAAGTAAATGATTTCACCGCTTGCCGTGTCCTGTGTAGCTTTAGAATTGGGATTGATTGCATTGCTCATCTGAAGTGCGTGCGCGCTGGAGCGGCTCGTCAAAGTAAAGTGCAAACATAATTTAAATCACCATATCGCATGTAGTATGAGGTTTCAAAGCATTTTAGATTGTTTCTTTTTATTGTGTATGTTCATAGAGGGAGAGGCGGGACATACAAAAGATCCAACAAATTTGTTTACAGAGTTTCAATGACTATTACAAAGAACAGGTTTCCTCAAGTCATTGTTTCCAAGGGGTCATTGTCCTGCAGAATTTAGCTCAAACCTTGATAAAAACTCAGCTGCCTGTAGCTTTCTTGTACCTCTGAAAACCTTTACATATAAGTTGCATATTTTTGGTTTTTGTTCAATTGTAAAGAATTAATTTATTTTCATTATTAAGAGGTTTGCACAAGAGTGAACTAAACTGTGCAAACATTCAACTTTGCTAAAATTAAATGTCTTGCTTTGGTCTACACTGGAAGTGTTCCATTAACTCTGCTAAACTATAATTACTAAAACTAAAACTGAAACTAAAATATGTCAAACTAAATAAAAATGGGTTCACAAAATAAAAACGAAACTAAAACTAACAAAACCATTAATGAATCTAACTAAATGAAATTATAGGAAATTTGAAAACGATATTAAAATAAAAACTAATTTAAAAATTCAAAACTATAATATCCTTGGTTTAATATATCATGCTGCCTTGGAAAACAGTCTAATAATGTGTTTCATGGATTCTCGTCCGTGAAATGCGCCACTTCCGGTATTTTGCCGGTTAGTCGACGAGGGCAAAATGAAATTGATTTTTTAAATCGCATACTCTAATAGAATTGACAAAACGTGTCAGCCCTAATGAGTAGTAATCAAAAATGAGTCTCTGTGCCATACATTCATACAGAACATGCAGAACATGTAGAATTTATATTTAAATGATCTTTTTGTGACTTAATATTTACAGATACTTATCCATATTGGTGGCTGACTAAATACTTTTTTTCCCCACTGTACTTTTGATTAATTCATCCAAACTTTGACAAATTCTGTGACATTCCACGTTAAACTGTAAATTCCATTTTTATAACTGGATTTCGTGATTCAGTACGCATTTTTTGCATCGTGGAAATAAAAGGGCCCTACCCTAATAATCCGTAGGAAAATAATACTTGTGATTTATTTTTATAATGTTTTATTTTATGTTTTATCAGACCTTATATTTCAAGGTACACTGTATATACCTTGGCACTCTAGAGGTTAATAAACAAAACTGCATGTGTCTTGTGGAAGAACAATGTAGCCTGAGCTGCTTCATTGTGTTTCCTGTATGTATATGACGAGTGACAAAGGAACTGGACTACTCTGCTGTGGTTGGTCTGAATAATAAACACTTATAGGCATGCCTAAGTGATTTAAGATGAGACAAAATAAATTTTGGAAGATGGATATAATATAACAAAAATGTTGTATAGTGTAACTTTCAGCTTTTTCAAAAAAGCCACCCTTTGCCTGGATTTAATATCTGCTTTGTCTTGGTATTCTTTTGAACCAAAATCTTGATGCATTCATTATCTCAATAACTGGCCAATTGTCCATTAAATGAACCAGTAAAATGATCATTTTAGTTTTGGGAAAGAAAAGAATGTAAGCATAATTATATAATATATTATATTATAAGTATTTTTTTTTTAATTGTCAATTGTGTGCTGTAGTTATATAATATATTATATTCTAAGTTTTTTTTTTTTAATTGTCAATTCTGTGCTGTAGTTGCTTACGGGCCATCCGCATGCTACAGAAGAACGGCCACATCCCCAGTGACCCCAGCCTGTTCAAGTCCTACGCTCAGTATGGTCACTTTGTGGATGTGAGGATTGCTGCACTGGAGGCTGTAATAGACTATACCAGAGGTACACACTTTATCTTTTAACCACTAATTTTCTCTGTCTTTCTTTTTCCATGTTAGGAAAACTTGGTCCATTTAGTTGGTCTGGTATTTTTTTTAATCTTTTAACTAGTGTGCCTTTTACAAAGGCTGTATGGCAACTGTTCTTCCCACACAAAAGGTCTCATTGTCAGTAAGGGAACCCCACCTTCATGTTCATCAATACAGCGGTAAATATCCTAGACAGGGCATTAGCTCAGACCTTAAATCCGGATATGAGGAGCTGATATAGGGTATTCATGAAAGTTTATACATGGAAAATATTGTTAAAAAGCCAACTTGATCATTGTTTAACCCTCAAGCATCCTTCAGGACAAATTTGGGTAAAATCTTTTTTATTTTATTTTAATTTTTTATAGTTTCCTTAGGGTGGTACAAGACTTGGCTACTTTTCCTGTTTGCCACCTGAACACACACAAAAAAAATTTACTCTATTCAACAAAGTTACGTGGTTGAAAAACAAACTCCTTAACCCATTTAATCCCAAAATTTTTCTCAGACATGAAACTATCAAAATGTGTCATTTAGTAACACTTTGAAATAATCAATTTTATTTATTTTATTTTTTTATGGAAAAGCGTGCAACAGTGAGCTTGCTCTGCGTGGTATTTTTTCTGCTGGCGCCTCGGTGCACACTTCCGGAAAAATCGGACGAAAAAAATATAAAAAACCGGCCGGTTGCCGATCGCGCATTATAAGCAAAAACCGAGAACATCGATACCAATTATGCCGTTGCCAAATTTCCTGTCCCCCGTTTTGATTTGTTGAAAACTTACTTTTTCAAACTCCTCCTAGACCGTTAGTCCAATTTTCACCAAATTTGACTCTGATCATATTCAGACCATCCTGGCAAAAAGTTTTGGATTTCGTGTCAATATACAAAACTGTTTTCGTTTAAGGCATCATCGAATTAGCTGGAAAGATGACAAACTGCATCTGAGGCTGTGTCTCTGCAAAGCTTTGACATATTGACACCAGATTTTGTATGTGCCATTGTCACCTCACCACATCAATTTGGTAACAGCGCCACCTATTGGTCGAGAGTGATAAACCATTCATTAAGCATCATTAATTAAATTCCAAAACTGCTAATAACTTTTGATTGCATTAGCCTATTGTAATGAAACTAATCTCATAATATTCCTTGGGTCATATCAACAACATGTATACCAATTATACTATAGTCAGCCGAACTTCCTGCCTGCCATTTTGATTTGTTGAAAACCTACTTTTTCTAACTCCTTGACCGCTGGTCCGATTTTCACCAAAATCGAATCAGATCATCTTCACCCACTCAACTTCTACTTTTGCCCTTTTTTTCTTGACGAGAAATGCATTTATTCAGTCGCAGAACGTCTTTACGACCGCATCAAACCGGAGACGTTTCAGATGCGCGCTCCAACTTCCTTTTAGTGCCAGGCGCGAGTCAAACAAGCGCGGAAATGGTACTGTGCTCGCAGCGCGTGCTCTTCAATTGCATACACAAAGGTGCCGGCGCGCTTTACTTTGTATCAACGAAGATAAAAAAAAAAAAAACACAGTTGGGGGTTTGGTGCCTTGCTCAAGGGTCTCACCTCAGTTGTGGTATTGAGGGAGGGGGGAGGGGAGAGGGCTGGATATTCACTCCCCCTACCTACAATCCCTACCGGACCTGAGACTTGAACCCGCGACCTTCGGGTTACAAGTCCAACTCTCTATCCATTAGGCCACGACTGCAAGATCAAAGACAAATACAAGATGACAACATGACTGAATGACTTTTGTAACTTCATCAAGAAACAAAGAAAGTTTAATTATTACAGTGAAGACTATGCTGTTTTATTTTACATTTGATTATTCATTTCTGTAGTAGGCTGTTAACTGAATACTTTAGACTTGCATTACCCTTAAAAAAAACTTTAAGCACAGTTTGTTTCATTTATCTTTTTATTCTATTGTATTTGTCCTTTTTTTTATTACTGACAGTTTAATTATTTTCAATAATTGAGGTATTCTTTTTTGTTTGTTTTTTTACAAATATTATACCCTAGTATTCTGCTGTGGTATTGAGAATTGTGAAGTTTCGCTGTTCTCTAAAATGTAGATGTAATAGCAACCTTATTTACAGAAAATATGTATTTGATATCACTATCTTTAAGTAAATCACTCAAAGTTTTGGTCATGTGGCCCACTCATAATTGTGTTAAATAATCGTGATTACAATATTGAGAAAAATAATCGTGATTATGATTTTTGCCATAATTGAGCAGCCCTACAGTCTATACACACAAAGTGTATAATTGGAGCACAGTTCGTTGATGGACCTGACGAGCTGATGATCTGAATCAGGTAAGAGAGAGATGCAGAGCATGTGCAGAGCAGGGGGGGCGCAAGGAACAGGATTAAGAACCGATGCTTTAAGAAATTTATTTTGAAACTTGTTAGAATCGTTAGAAGACATTCATATTCATATATAAATTCATATATAAATAGATGTTTTCATGCACCCTAGTTTTGACGGCATGGCAACAACTTCCTCTTCTCTAAAGCAGCGCAACATGACCTCGCCCCCTTTGTTGCGTGTTCCCGGGGCCGGGGTTTATATAAATTTCAGGCTTTGTGATGTCACCAACCTGGGAAAAAGCTTGTTGTAGTCCCTACGAGCCATATTTGTAGGCATGAAACTGCCATCATTTTGAAAGACTCCGTTTGCATTGAACTTTCAGTTTCGTAACTTTGCAGATATTGTTTATGCTCAAACAGCAACATTACACACTAACTAAAGTTAAAAATGTGAAATCACAATCAACCACTCCTTTAAAACAATTGTACAATTTTAACTTGGGATAAAATCTAAAACTTAAAAGTTTAAGTTCGTTACAACAATGGTTTATAGGTTTCAGCCTATATGCAGCCATTGAGTACTATAGCCATATAGTGGCTATTGATGTTTTTGAAATTGTTATGCTATCAAATGTCACAAGATATCACCAGAATCACCAAATTCGTAGGTTTTGGCTGTCTGAACTTACTGGAATTATTAGGGGCCAAGCACCGAAGGTGCATAAGCACCTCTTGTATCCGTTAGATTTCTTCTTATTATTATTATTATTAGGGGCCAAGCACCGAATGTTGCCAACGGATTTCTTTTTCTTCTTCCTCCTCTTGAGTCTATGGCAGCCCATAGAACCGCTTGCAGGAAAGTTATGAAATTTCCCACACAGATAGAGGAGAGTCTGACCTGTCACCATAGCAAATTTGAAGTCACTGACTCAAACTCTCTAGCACTACCACTTCTCCAAAGTTTCACTCATGTTTATGCTAATAATTTTTTAACTGAAAGGTCTAGAAGCAAAATTATTTTTTCCTCTTTTTAAGTTGATTAGTGAAACCGTTATTGAATAACGTGTGAACAAATTCTACGAAGAACACGCAAAAATGGATGTGAGGCTATATTTCCCCAATGGTTTGGCATATTAAGACCAAACTTGGTGTGTGTTATAACAAGCATGACCTGAGGCTACCTGTAGTGTTTCGGCAAAGTGCGAAATAAACTACGTGCATGCAATGTCGTGGTCAGTTAAGGCATAACATTACCAAAAAGGCGTTCAGCAGTGACAGCTCTTAAAGAAATAGCAGTTAAAACAACCTAATAATCAGCTGCTGTGATGTCTGTTAATCAAAGAAAAAGAAAAAAGTAGAGGAAATCAATAACTTTTATAGCTTTAAGTATTCATCTTTATTTAGTTTATAACTTTATTCAATTTCTGTATATTGCTGCTGAGGGGCACTGGTATAGCTAAATATTACATTTATTATAATGGGTTTATGTGAAGATTGTTTAAAGTTCACTTAAATTAGAAGTTATTTTTAAAGTCTAATAAATGTTAAAATTGATAGCTCTTAATTATAATGTAATGTTGAATGGCTATAGTCAATAGTTAAATATTGGGGGGGGGGGATTTTTATAGGGAAATCAGTAGTATTGGTATCAGTGATACTGGCCTTCAGTCATAAAAAGGATGACATTAAACAAATATTAAAAATATACTGTCTGTTGTTTGTTCATTAATTTGAAGATTGAATGTGAAATTATTGCCATACAAAAGTATATTTAAAAATGTTAATGTTAGGTGGGATTAATCGAAATTCATTTCAGGAAAAATTTGCAATTAATTAGTTAATTTTTTTTTTAATCGATTGACAGCACTAATAGTAACGCAACAAATTTGAGGCATGATACCAGACTACGTCTGAGGCCATATCTCTGCAAAGCTTTGACATATTGACACCAAACTTTGTGTGTGCCATTGTCACCTCACACAGAACACACCACATCAAATTGATAACAGCGCCATCTGTTGGTCAAACGTTAAATCATATTAGCAGTAGTTGCACATGATTTTTCTTCCATTTTGACTAAAATCATCTTAAAATAACTTCAATTACTCATTGCTGCAGGTGGTCTGTTGCTTGCTTCTATGGTGCTTGGCCCCTTAATTGCTGCTTACAGCTATATTTATTATTAAGGGTTCAAGCACATTGCCTATTGTAATTTTTAGGGGTTCAAGCACGTAGTGCTGAAACCCTATTGTAATTGTAAGGATTTTTAGGGGTTCAAGCACGTCGTGCTGAAACCCTATTGTAATTATTAGGATTTTTATTATTAGGGGTTCAAGCACGTAGTGCTCTGAAACCCTATTGTAATTGTAGGTATTTTTTTAATTATTATTTTTCTCCGGTAAAACTGATCGTGCAGACCAAACCATAAGGCCTAGAGAGCTGAAACTTGGTCAGATAGTAGTAGAATTGCTCGCTATTCAGATCCAAAGACTCGCTCCAATCGACCTATCGAGGGCGCTACAGCGATCAAAAACGCGAAACAGGTCATAACATACGTGTCGTATATCCTTGTAATCCTTGGCTCAAACCAAACAAAATGGCTATCTCCGATTTCATTTCCGGTATGCAAATTTTTCTGCCATT